CGAGCTCAAATTTTGTTCAACAGGAAATGATGCATTTTGTAGGTAGGTGAAGCAAATTTCACATTCTCGTTGTTTCTTATGTGTTTAGAGATTTGAGTGTTGTTTTGACATGTAAGTGGTAAAAACAATGGAGCACGTTTCTAGTTTTCTTAAACCCTATCTGTTAATCAGTTGCGTAGGAATAAAATTGCTTATTACCAAAAAAATAGAAAAAAATTATTCTCAGAACTATGCATCTATAAGCTGAAGAATTTAATTTATCTAGTTTGAAGTTAAAGTACTTAAGAAGATTAGAATGTGAAAGTTAAGAAGCTAAATTGATAAAATATAAATGGATATATTGAATTTTAGAAAATATTTGACTGAAAAATTAAAAAAATAAAATAAAAAGATCATTTGTTGTTGGATACCACAATCTATACAAAGTTCTCGATACTTAAATATATATGTGATGTCCAAGATTCAGAGAGGGCACAAGAACAAAATGTAGCTCCATGCTGCAACCGGGATTAATCGACACTAAAATGAAAGACAGCGATAAGAAATAAAAAGAATACATAAATTAATGTGGTTCACTAACAGGGATGAGATACCGTCACACAGATTTACAACCCATTTTATAGTCATTGGATACTTCTCTCTCTTGTCTCTTTCTTCTTTTTTTAAATCGATGATTAGGATTACATGATGGGTATTTTTGGAATGAAAAAACTAACCACATAGGATTACTATCACTATTAATTTCCATATCCTTTCCTTTCTCTAAAAACCTAATCAGATCCCCTCTCCGCAGCCACCACCACCAGTTCTCCCTTCTTCTACCTCTTCTTCTTCATCACATCTGCCCCTACCATCGGACCCACCACCATCGAGCCCTCCGTCGCCACCCCCTGCTGTCGGCGCCACCACCATCATAGCCTCTCCCGGTCGCAGCCCTCCCGCTGCAACCGCCTCCCACCACCATCACCAAATTCGCATCTGCCTCCCCCTTCCATTCTTCCTCCACCTCCCACCACCACCTGTCTTCACACCGCCGTCGTCGCCACCGCGAGGTAACCACCTCTCCTCTGTTTTCCCCTTCCCTCATCCCCTATTTTTTTTCCTGATCTGGGATTTTTCAGATTTCAGATCGGGTTTTTATGTCTTAGTCTCTAGTGGTAGCGCCACCAATGAGTAGTGGTAAGCTACCAGTGGTACTGGTACCTATCAGAGGTAGTGGTACGCTACCAGAGGTACGGGTACGCTACCACTACTCACTGGTAGCGCTACCAGTGCGAGTGGTACGCACCAATGGTACTGGTACACTATCAGTGGTAGTGGTACGCTACCACTACTCACTGGTATCGTACCAGTACCACTAGTAGAGTACCAGTACCACTGGTAGCTTACCAGTACCACTGTACGCTATATGAAAATCACTACCACTAGCGCACTCATGAAGTTGTACTTTTTTGCAGGTGGCCGGATTGAGTCTAACTGAAGGTTGTCACCGGAAAAAGTCTGTCGGTCGGAGTAAGTTTGGCGGTAGGAGCGAAGAGGCTGCTGGAAAAAGTAGAGAGAGATAGAGAGAGATATAAGTGTATTAATTGTAGGGTTTTTAAAAAAAGGCATGTATTTAATATGGATTTTTAATTCCCAATATGTAATTAATACAAAAAAATAATTAATAAATTTTTTTTGTTATACCCAAATTACCCTTGGTTGTGAATCTCACAACCTCCTAAGGGGAAATGACCATACCCAGCCCTCACTAACACAATGTGTGTTAGCTACTTTATGAACGAGGAGAGAGCCAGACTCATTATATTCGAGAAGATTACAAATTAGTATGAGAAGTATTTATAATAATTCTTCAAAAATCTAACCCTAACCCTATATAGTAAAAAACAATGTTACAGATGAGGGTCAGACCAAAAGTCCATACAAATGTATCTGTATGATCCACCTAACTTAAAAAAAAAAAACTGATCATCTAATTCAATTCACATTAATATCTTGAGCTTCAACAAATGGCAGTTGGAGTGGAGCATCTGTACCGGAAGCAAATCAAAGACTAAAATTTTGCAATGGTATGAAAAGGTTGGCTATTATTTTTTTTATTTTCAAAGTTTGTTGTTTTTTCATAGTATAAATTATAAAAGATAGGACTAATAAAGTGTATTTACCCTATTTTGGATATCCAAACATAAATTTTGAAGGATATTTTTCATAGACAAATAAATTTTTAGGTATATAATTGTAACATATAAACATGACGATTCTAAACTATAATTTGTCAAATGATCTAAGAATCTATTTTAAAAAAATAAAAATAAAAGAGAGGCCGCATTAAGCTATTTGAAAAAAAGAGGAAGATAGAGCATTGTATTGCGATTGGCTAACATTAACAGATTTACTTTTCTCTGCATTTCCTTGCACGATCCAATCTGTACGTGGGCACCGGGACGTGCCGCTCACGGGCTAGCACGACACGAGTACGGGCACGAAATAAATGGTCCAGTCCGGCATGAGCACGAATAATTTATGGGCCGTGCCGGCCTAAACTTCATGGGCACTGGCACGGCACGATATATAAGTGGGCCGTGTCGGGCCTAATATTTTCGAGACTTTATTGTGTATAAGAACGAACATGACACAAAAATAATATTTATTTGATAGAAAATAAATATAAAACGAATTATAGGTTCAAATATTACAAAATACAAGTAGAAAAATAATTATTTGTTGCTGTTAGAAGTGTCATAAAGATATATACATAATTACTACCATAAGTAAAAATGGAAAAAGAATTAAACAAAGCCAAATCACACTCGCTATACTTCCAATTTTCTTTTCCCCTTATTTGTTACTTTTCTCAAACATTATCGGTTAATATTTTCTTTCTCCGTCCAATTTTCACATTCTTTTTCATTCTCTTTTTTGTTTTTTTCATTTTCATTAAATACGAATACGAGCATGGCACGAGCACGAATAGGCACGACACGATTCGAACCGTGCCCGGGCCTGGGTCGGGCCTAGCAAAGTTAACAAATGGACTTGCATGGCACGGCACGAAAACTGATGGATCGTGCCAAACACAACATGAAATAAATAGGCCCGAAGCGTGCTCGTAGCGTGCCGGCCCAGCGCCCATGTACAATCCAATCCTTATATGTGAGTTTCACTTCCCCGGTTCTGCATTTGATTTTGCTCTTCCTTTTGTATGAAAGGGGGCGAGTGACGACCAATGTCATCCACATAGGTTTTCGCCTTCGCCATGAATGTGAAGTAGAGAGAGCACTATGCAGACAGATGATAAAATAAAAAGTAAAAGAGAGCTAAGGAAAAGCAAAGATGTGGTGCAGGAGGTGGGGTAGGGTTCCAATTATGAAATTCAATACATCGAAAGCACTAAACAACAGCAAAACTTACAAAAAGAAACTATATTATTGCCCCATAAATCATTGACCGTGGACTGCTGCCTTTCCGTTGGGAGGAAAACTTGGGTGCACCCGCAGGGATTGCTGAGGTGGTGCACTGTGCCAATCCCCTCCTGCCATCTGTTATATAATTAATAGGGATTTAAAATTAAGAGTCAGAACTTTAATGTGTGCGTGCAAGAGACTATGGGAGGGGTTACAGTGCTAATTGTACAATAGTTAGCACCGTCCTAACCAAGGGAAAAACTACTACTAGTTTGAATTAGTAGTGATTTAGCTTAGATGTTGTATTGATTTTATAATAATCCGTAGTGATTTTTTCTAGTTATCACGGTGCTAACCCCTATAAGGGTTAGCACCTAATCCCATCCCGGAAGTAGGAAGAGACACTTTCTCTTTCCTTTTTAATGGTTTAGGGTTAAACTTTTTCCTTTCAATTAATTAATAATTTATTGAATAAACACCCCTGTAAACAGAAAAGTTGAGTCTCAGCCGCATCATTGCCGTCGGGTATATTCCGTCGGGTGGTACTCCATTAATTAAAGTACCCGGTGCACAGCTATTACCAACATGTTCGTTATTTTCTTATTTCTTAACCTGTGGTTCATGTGTTTAGCAAAAAAATTACTATTTTCTTGTATTCTTATTGCTTGTTAGTTGTTACTGTAGTATAGAACCATGATTTGATTTGGAGTTGGATTTCCTTATCTCAACGAGAACTGTAGTATGGATACATGATTTGACTTGGGATTATCTATACATTTGGGAATTTTTTGTTCTGTTTCCATCTCTTTCCCCTCCATTGTCGTTGCTGTATAGGGATGGCAATGGGCAGGGTTTGGTGCGGTTTGTCTAAACCATCCCCATCCCCATCTTCAAATACCCAAACCCATACCCGCCCCGTACCCATGCGGGGGAATGTTTTGCAAACCCATCCCCATACCCGTGGGTTTCGGGTTCCCATGGGTAATACCCGTACCCATACATCCAACATTATTATACCTAAAATTTACAAGAAAAGTTTTAATTATTACTCTAAACGAACCTATTATATCATGAAGTCAACAAAACACGATCATTTTCTTAATTCGGTTCAAAGTATATGATCCTAAAACATCCATTAATACATAATATAGAGTATAATATTTTTCAAATTATTATCTTCTAACTCTTATACATCTACTAAGTAATAATTAACTAACATAATCTTGACAAGGGGAAAAGTGAAAGAGTGAAAGGAGAATTGAGGGAAATGAATTAGATTTTGATTAAAATGGTCACTCAATTGCATTTGTACTATTTATTTCCTTGAGTTATCCTCATCACCATTGATAGATTACAATTTATCCACATATTTTTTTTATATGTGAAGAAATTCTCTTGGTGGGGCGGGTATGGGTATGGGGCGGGGATTCTCCGCGTTGACTGGGTCGGGGGGGGGGGGGGGGGGGGGGGGGGGGGTGGGGTTTCGGATACCTGCGGTTATGGGTTTTATTGCCATCCCTAGTGCTGTATATGTGCCTTTTGTTTTTTTATAGTTGAAGAAAGAAGAATCGGAAATACACTGTTTGCATTGATATCATGGATATTGAAGATAATGAGATTGCACTATTTCCTAACCGGGTGGCAGATGGTGAAGATGATAATCTATATGGGAAAATAGTGTCTAATGAAGATGAAGCTTATAATCTCTACAATACCTATGCTTTAAGAGTTGGTTTCAGTGTGCGTCGAGGTAGAAAGAGGTATTCTGGTAAACCTATAAATATTAGCCAACGTGAGTTTGTATGTTCCAAGGAAAGCATCACGAATGATGAAAATCCACTTGAAGTGAAAAAGGTCAATAGGTTGGAAACACGAACAGGGTGCAAAGCTTTTATCCAATTCAACATTGAGAATGATGTGTGGAAGGTGACTAATTTCAAGCCCACTCATAATCATGATCTTGCTTCACCATTAGAGAGGCACCTGCTGAAATCTAGTCGAAAGATTTCAAAGGAAAAGGCAGGTGTAATTGACACAATGAAGAATGCAGGACTCAACACAAAAGATGTTTATGCATATATTTCCACAGAACATGGGGAAGATGAAAATGTTGGATTTTTACAGAAAGATTGTTCTAATCATGTGCATAGACAAAAGATGGTGAAAGTTGAAGCAGGGGATGCTCAAAGTCCGATGAATTATTTGAAAAAGAAGAAAGCTGAAGACCCAATGTTCTTTTATGCAGTGCAAGTTGATCAAAAGAATCGGTTGACAAACTTTTTCTGGCGAGATGGAAGATCAAAGATTGACTATGATTCTTTTGGAGATGTGATGATATTTGACACTACCTTCCGCACCAACAAGTATAATCTCATTTGTGCTCCATTTGTCAGCGTGAACCATCATTGGAACAATGTTATGTTTGGTTGTGCATTTTTATTGGATGAGACTGCTGCATCATTTAAGTGGTTGTTTCAGTCCTTTTTGGAGTCAATGGGCAATAGAGAACCTCAAGCTATCTTCACTGACCAAGATGCTGCTATGGCAAAGGCGATTAGAGAAGTGTTTAAAACCACAAAGCATCGCCTATGCTTATGGCACATCAGCAAAAATGCACCTTCACATTTGGGACATCTGAATGGGGATTCAGATTTTCAGGTATTGTGGAATAAGTGCTGTACATGATGTGAGTCAGAGATGGAATTTCAAGAAACATGGGACAAGATGAATGAAATATATGATCTTTACTGCCTTTGGTCATGACTTTTTCTTTGCTGGTATCAAATCATCTCAAAGAAGTGAAAGCACAAACAATGTACTAAATAGCATATCAGGGAAGACAACATATCTTACCGAGTTCACTATTCAGTTTGACAATTTAGTTTCGGGTATGAGATCGAAGGAGCTACAGGAGGACTTTCGATGCAAACAAGGTACTCCAAAGCCGTTGGTTATATGTGGTATCTTAGATCATGCTGCAAAAATGTATACCAAAACTATGTATATGGTGTTTCAAAAAGAATTTATCAGGAGCCTTGCAACAATATGGAGAGAAGTCAATACTAATGAATTAGTATTTACCTATGAGGTGAAAGAAGAGGGGAATAATAGAATTCGCACTGTTCATTTTAATAAAGAGAAGAATGAAGTTCTTTGTTCATGTAAGAAGTTTGAGACGAAATGGATTCTTTGTTGCCATGCTCTACGGATCCTTAGTGTCAAGAACATCACAGAATTGCCTACTGATTATATATTGCAACGTTGGAAAAAAGAAGCCAAAAAAGGGATGATGGGCTATGAGAAAGGATATGCTTCAAGGAAGATCAATGAGGAGGCAAAGATTGTATGGAGGAATTCTATGATGCGCATAGCTAGCAACCTTATATACAAAAGCCAACACACTGAGAGCATCAGGAAAACGTTTCAAGAAAGTTTGTTGAGTCTTGAAATGAAGCTAGATCAAGAGTTGGAAAACCTAGACTTGGATGGTCATATTGACAAAGAGGCTGTTGAAATTGACACAAACGAAGAACCAGTATTAGATCCTCCATGTGTGAAGACGAAAGGACTAAACTACACAAGATCAAAAGGACACTTTGAAAAGCGTAAACTAAAATCAACAAAAGTGTCATCACGTAAGAGTTTATTTTTCATTACATCTTTATTAAACTCATTATTTGATATCCTAATTCTTGAATTGTTTGTCTTGTAGGAAAAAAGTCTCAATCAAATACCATTCATGAACAAATGACTCTCGAAAGGACTGCACAGTATCCAACATTGCAACAAGTAAGTAAACATGACTAGTTAATTTGTACTATTTAATTTGTTATGAATTATCTCATCTAGTTTTATCTTCAGTCCTTGGCATCTCCTGCACCTCAAGCTAGTGGAGTTGGAAATTTTGCAGCTTCATGTCCATAATTTGAATATTTCAATTGAGTAGTAATTGTTACACTATATTTATGTACTTCTAGTTAAATCGAAATGTTGTTACATGGCATGGCTATTCCAACTACTTCTTTCATGCATGTCATGCCAAATGTCGTTCCAATGATTCACCTAAACCAGGTTGGTTATCTCTTAGACAACTTGAATATGTTTAATCCTGATTTATATATTTATTAGCTTACACTATCATTTGTTTATTTCTACAGGGTTCGTTTCCTCAATCATACTCGGACTTTCCCATGTGGCAATTAAGAGAAGACAATGTTGTATTCCTCTTTGTACCTTTTCGAATTAGAAGAATCATGCACTATTTTGGTGTATAATCTCACCAATGGTTTTTTGAATTTTACAGAACTCGACATCAGGCCACTGACTACAAGAATTTATGGACTTTGATTTTTCATGGACACACTTTGGATTCTTTTCTTTTTCATGAATACACTTTGGATTATGGATACTTTCTTTGTGTTTGGTTTCTACAAGGAAAGACTTAATTAATTGTCTATGATTCGATAAGACATGTTGCATCTGGAAGTTTAGAACAATATAGGAGTAAATTTTTTTAACCATAAACTGGTCAATCATGAATTGTCACAGAGCAACATGCCAAACTCCCACAGTTGCATTCCAAACTCAATTCCTTTTATTACTTACCCTATCATTCAACAAGTGAAAATGAGCTACATAGAACACTATATCTCTTCTATGTACATGTCCTGTAATAGCAACAACAACAACATTGAGAGCCATCTATGGTGTGCATCCTTGAATTATAAGGAACCTCTGCTTTCGTTGCAGAATTGAACACTCCAAGCATTGCTCTTACATCAATTGAACGTATTGCTCCAGTTTTGAACAACACTGAATTAAGTCAAACTTGTACCCATCTTCATCACGGCAAAAAGTAGGAACTAGCTGGGGAAGAACTGAAACAGGACGATCCTGAGCGAAATCCAAAAGAAGAATCAATCGAACAACAGATCAGCGAAATGAACAGAGAGAGCGAGAGTACATTTGCAAGCTCAGAGGATGAAGAGGGCGGCGAAGAGGTCTCACCAACTGTGGCTACGGCTGCGTCTGCTTTTGGATCCCCTTTACTTCACCGACTCGAGCAGCTGTTAGTGGAGAGAAACTGAGATAAGATAAAAAGTGGAGGGTGAAGGTCCTTTTCTTGGTTTTATCGAGAGGAAAGAGTTCCACAATTAAGAAACTCAATTAAGAAAGAGAAGACAGTCTCCCGTAGGACAAAAAAAAAAGAAATAGGGAATTTAAAGTTTAATTTACTTTTTTGGGTGGGATAAATGTGTACAGATGGCAGGAGGGGATTGGCACGGTGCACCACCTCAGCAATCCCTGCTGGTGCACCCGGTGCACCCAAGTTTTTCTCGGATGGATTTTCCTTCCTCGTAGTTCTATCCAACCGGCCAAAGATTTGTTTAACATCAGCCAATGTCAAATCAGTTCAATTAATTGAGTGAGTTGAAAAGGTAAATTGCAAGTTTGGTCACTCAAATTATTAAAAAATTTTACATTTGCCACTAAAATTAGTTTATTCCATTTATGGTCACTAAAATTAGTTGAACAGTTCAAGTTTGGTCACTCTCCATCAGTCTCCGTTAACTTTCGCTGATGTGGCAGTCAACTCTGATAGTTGACCGTTAAATGTGTGACGTGCCAATTAAAAAACTAAACAAATAAAATTTAATCTTTTTATAATTTTCACCTCATTAACACAAACACAGCAAATTGAAAAAACATAAATGTTATAATTTTCGCTCCACCAACTTCGCTCCAACAAGCGGCAGAGCAACCATCCCCCGCCTCCGTACGACCAGCTGGCTAATTCCTTCTCATCCAACGGCTTCAACTACCCTATGGCGGCGGGTGCCTTTTTCGGTGGCGGCGACGACGCGTCCCCTTCTAATAATAATAATTCAGCTGTACTGATGGACGCGATTATTTCTCCGACAATGGCTAAAGAGAAATTGTTGATGACGAGAGGGATGGAAGAAAGAGCTCCTTGCTCACCAGCCGGTACAATTAGGCCAAAATGAAGGTCCTGAATCATCATCATCCCCACAAATGGGTATCAAAGAAATACCCAAATGGTCGCAGATGTGGAATGGGAGAATGCAGTGGCCCTCTGTGACGTTGAGCTGCAGATGGAAGTGGAGACTGCCATAGAAAGTCTCAATCTGAAACTGTTCATCAAATCCATGATGTGGGCATTGGAGGAAAAGTCAGAATACCTCTCCCATGCATCCCTCAATGACTCACCCTCCTGTTGTTCAAAATGGGTGATCTTCTTGCGCCACTCCGCCATCTTGGAAGGGGCACAATATCGGGTCATGAACTTGTTGAGCAAGTCATCCCGTGAGGTAATCGAGAGAGGTGGTTTATTGTTGAGCCACTGAGCGCATTCCCCGCGAGAGATCAGGGGAATAGCCTCAGCTTTAACGAATCTTCGGGCACCCATTTATCTTTAAACTTCCCGCAATCTCGATAAACCTCTGAACATTCTCCCTCGGAGACTCATCTCTAAGCCCGTGGAATTGCACATTGTTTTTTATCATTATGATGAGCCCAGGCATGATCTAGAATTTTTTGGCAGCCACAGGTGGATGTAAACTGGTAGGTTGAATATCCTCCGCGTGGAGCCATGTAGTAGCCCATGGTCCTTGGTTGCTGCTCGGCTTTTGCTTGAGCATCTTGCTTAGCCGCCATCTCGGCTTCACATCCTTCCTATTCCTCCAATTCAAACTCTTCCTTAACACAACTTCTTCAACTTCGTGACCAACTTGTTGTTGTCCCCTCTCTTCAATCCTTCTCCTTGCTTCCACCAGCTCCCTCTCACTAGCCAAAAGTCGGAGAGTGCAGTTGAGATCCTTCCTCTTCCTCAGATTACTCTAGGTCATACACCCTCCTGCACAGTCTTCAAAGAAACACAACTCGTCTAACACAAGATAGATTCACACACAAAACAAAAGTAAAAGGCAGACACCAAACAATCTTTTCAAAATAACGGACCTAATCTTTCCCCGGCACCGGCGCCAAAAACTTGACTCGTCCTGAATGTCACATTAAAAATCCCAATCATGTCCAAGTATAAACCTTAACTAGGTGCAGTATAGGGAAAGTATGTTTTAAAAGTCAAACCCTGGTCGGTCCATGTACCCCTACTTTGATTGTTTGAAACATTATCTAGCAAACGGCTTTTGGTTGAAACTATGATTTAAAAAACTAAAGCAATTGGAAAAGTAAATGGTGTGAACACTAATTGTGAAGGCTTCACCTGGTGTTGTTCCCCCTAGCTACATATAAAATTAAGTTAAACCGAATGAAAGTGCATGGTAAAGGTGGTTGCTAACCGTAGGGAAGCGCAACAAGTGAATCAGGTTCACTCTCTTGATCAATTGGCTAAGGGACTACAAGTCAAGCTACCTAGTTAGCTCTCTTAGCCAACTGTCTAAGTCTTGACAAGGCTTCACTCTCGAACCTTGGTCAGGACGGCTGAATCGCAACCAAGACAAGGTGCTTAAACGTAGCAAGAGGTGTGCCCTAATTTTCCCTAGATAGGTGGCTCAAATCACTCAATTCATACAAGCTTTCACATGTTTCTAGCTAGGGTTCAAAAACACCAAGTGAAATAAAGAACTACTCCATGTTAGGTAGAAGGAATACACAAATGAAAGAAGAGAAAACCATCTTGAAGATGAATGCTTTCTTCCTTTTGT